AGCTAAGGGTTCATTTTCCTGACATCACATTATCTGACCTTTTCCGCTTGACTCATACATATACTAGATATTGCAAATAAGGGAAACCATGGGACCTGTGTTTCTTTGGGCCTGGCTTACTTCACTTAATATAATTTTTTCCAAGTTTTTCCATTTCCTGACAAATGGGGCAATGTCATTCTTTCTGGTCTGTGAGACTCTTATCTCCAATTAAAACACCAAAGCCCAGAAGTGGAGCTATATGTATCTCAAGTCGTAGAAAGCTAGACTTGAGCAAAATAACTCAGGGACAATAAAAAGCCCTGAGTTCAAGCCCCAGAATCATAAAAAAAAAGAAAAGACAAGACCCACCTAACAGTGGTTTGGATGGATAAAACAAATGCTAGACAATTCTATCAAATGTTGTTTGTTCAATGAATGTATAAATAACAAAGAAGTAACTGCATACAACAGGGCTTGTGCTCCATGCAGACAGTGGAAATAGAAAGAAACGGTATGAGCTAGCTGGCTACGGGGTTGCACAAGTCCTGATCACAGGCAAAGTGGGGTCTTTCCTTGGGACTGTGGTAAATACTGCATAATCATCTTAACTAAATATCCAGCCTCAGAGCACATCTCCACCCAGCTTTCCCAAAATCCCCTTTGCTAGAAAAGGGGATTTCCCCACAGAAAACTTCTTCCACGAATGGCCAGAAGATGTCGCTGCAGACAGCACGATGCACGCAGTGTTCCTGTTGGTGACTGGGTAAAATCCAGCCATTTACCAAGGAAAAATTCCATTGTGACTCCCAATGGTCTCCTTTAAGCCTTTGCTCCTGCCTTTCTTTTCCTCCTGTGTTCCCCCACCTCGCTGCCCTGAAGTCCATTTCCTGATGTGCTGGCAACCTGGAGGTGGACCTGAAACCCTCCACGATGGCAGAGTCAGCAAGGTGATTGGGCTCTGCTACGCTTCCCTGTTGGCTCTTCTCCATCAAGTTCACAAAGAGCATTTACCAAGGTGGCATCGTCAATGCCACCCCCCATTCAGCAGAGCCCGGTGAGTTTCAATAAATGCTTAGCCCGTCTATTGCCTATTTCCTGCATTCTCCCAAATTGGCCTACTTTTCAATTATGAACACAGAAGGAGTTGGTGGTCCATTTTGCTTTCGAAAAATATCAGCACTCTTGGGAAAAAAAATAATCTGTAAACCTTGGTCTATAAACAGTCCAAGGGTACAGGAAATGATGAGCATGTCTGAGCCAAGCTAAATGACTTATCAAGAAGGACAATGTGTGATCATCATGGGACGAGATTCTGACAGCTGAGACCTGGGAACAAAGAAAAAGTGTTCCAGGACATCAATCCTTAATTCTTGTTATGGTTTTGTGTGTGTGTGTGAGAGAGAGAGAGAGAGACAGACAGACAGACAGAGACATAGACACAAAGAGAGAACGCAGCGGTACTAGAGCTTGAACCTAGGTCTTGCACTCTCACTTGGCTTTTTCACCTAAGGTTGGCACTCTACCATTTGAACCACAGCTCTACTTCCAGCTTTTTGGTGGTTAATCAGAGATAAAGACTCTTGGGGACTTTTCTGCCCAGGTTGGCTTTGAACCACAAACCTCAGATCTCAGCCTCCTGCGCAGCTAGGATTACAATCATGAGCAACTGCATCCAACTGCTTATGGTTTCTGGATCAACCAAGAATAACTTTCAGAGCCAATACTTTTACAAGTATCCTTCTCCATGCATAGCCTAAGAGACAAAACTTGAGACACAAATCTCAATTTCTAAAGTTATCCACCTAATGTAAGATTCGATGCAAGAGAATGAAGTCTGTAAGGGGGTTTTGAACAATGCGTTATCTAAGAGCACACACACACTATATATATATATATATATATAGGCTGAGGTTGCTGGGTGCCAGGGGCTCATGCCTATAATCCTAGCTACTCCAGAGACTGAAAACTGAGAATTGCAGTTCAGAGCCAGCCTGGGCAGGAAAGTCTGTGAGACTCTTATCTACAATAAAACTATAAAGAAAGCTGCTGGTAAAGTGCTAGTCCTGAGCAAAAGATGCACAGGGAAAGCACTCAGGCCCTGAGTTCAAACCTCAGAACTAGGGGAAGAAAAAAAATGGCTGAGGTCAGGTGCCAATGGTTCATATTCTTTCAATTCTAAGTTCTTGAATAAGAACTGTGCTATTGCTAAGTCTCCTCATACCCTGATTAAGCTCACAATGAATTCATCCCAACACAGGTCAGTAAAGACACTGCCATACAGCTCCAACACCTTCCTGATCCATCTACTCCTCTAGAACACAACAGCACCTGGCCAACCTACACACCTATAAATACTACCTGGTTTCTATCAACAAGCCTTGGAAAGAGAGCCAAGAATTTTAGCCATGGGCAACACATGTAGGCCACCTCTTTCCCTTGCAGCATATCACCCAATAGCAGCCTGAGCACATGGACAGGGCACCTCAAAAGATGTATACTAAAGTGCAGTCATTAAAAGTATATGTACACATCAGCTGCCAGTGGCTCACACCTGTAATCCTAGCTACTCAGGAGGCTGAGACCTGAAAATCACCTTTGAAAACCAGCCTGGCCAGGAAAGTCCATGAGACTCTGATCTATAATTAACTAGCAAAAAGCCAGAAGTGCAGCTGTGGCTCAAGTGGTAGTGCAGGAGCCTTGAGCAAAAAAGCTCAGAGAGGGGCTGGGAAGGTGGCTCAGTGGTAGAGCACTTGCCTTGCATGCCTGAGGCCCTGGGTTCGATTCCTCAGCACCACATAAGCAAAAAGAAAAAAGCCGGAAGTGGCACTGTGGCTGAAGAGCTGAAGAGCACAGGGACAGCGCCCAAGCCCAGAGTTCAAGCCCATGACTGACAAAAAAAAATAAAAAAAGGCATATGTACTTAAGGAATCCTGTTATTTTACACTACAGTGATTATAAATCGCTTTGGAGGAAAGATGACTCTCTTCAGGGCTCAGAGCCTTTAGTTCTAATTCTGCCTGTCAAATGTTCTGGATAGACCCTCCCATCCCTAGTCTCCTGTTACACCAAGGCCAAGGTCCTTGATGCCAAGGAAACAGAAAGTAGGGGCTTTTCCCCAAAACCACATTTTTAAAAAATCAGACTTTGGCTGGGAAAGAGGCTGGAAACTCAGAGCCTGTGCATTTAATTTGGCCAAAGATGCAGAAACACAATTGTGTTTGTTTTTAATGGTCATCTGCTCTAAAATGCAGTAGAGAAAAACCACAAACAAGTTCTTCCTAAACCCCAAACCAGACCCTTGCATTGTCTTCTTCTTTTTTGTACATCAAACAAAACCAAAAACAATCTGCACACAGTTCTGATTCCAAGTCTGGAATCAGTTCTTCCAAGTTATAATGTTTGTTAAATCACATTCAGCTGCATACCATGAGGTGAAAACCTGTTGGATCACATTATTTAAAACTGTCTCCCAGGGTTGCAAGAAAACAAAGGTTAGTTCCTGGGAATCCCCTAGGCAGGAACAAAGCATCAAGGCTCAGCACCTCCCAATTTTTTCAAAATGCTTTTTGAGAACCAAGAGATGACTGCACGTCCCTTAACACTAGGTGGCACTCTAAATAATTAGGGGTATAGAATAGTAGTCCTGAGTGGTATCAGGAATATAAAATCATCAAAAGAGGTGCAAAAATACTTTATTCTGAGTTTTTAATACCTGCAGCCCCAAGTTCTCTGTTGATGTCTTTTTTGTTTTTGTCGGTCATGTGGCCTGAACACTGTCCCTCAGCTCTTCAGTTCAAGGCTGGTGCTCTACTGCTTGAGCTACAAGCACCACTTCTGGCTTTTTCTGCTTTTGTGGTGTTGAGGAATCAAACCCAGGGCCTCATGCATGCAAGGCAAGCACTCTACCACTGAGCCACCTGCCCAGCCCCTGATGTCCTTTCATAAGTGGGGCTTTACAAGTGTTTGACATTGCTGTACATTTTTTTACAAACTAAAAATTTTTTGGGGGGGTGTCCAGTTGTGGGGCCTGAACTCTGCGCCTGGGTGTTGTCCCTCAACTCTTCAGCTCAAGGCTAGTGCTCTACCACTTGAGCCACAGCGCCACTTCCAGCTTTTTTCATTTTGCTTATGTGGTGCTGAGGAATTGAACCCAGGGCCTCAGGCATGCAAGGCAAGCGCTCTACCACTGAGCTACCTTTCCAGCCCTACAAACTAAATTTAGTTTTATGTATATATAATGAAGACAGGATAGCCTTCTATGCATTTTTTTTAAAAGAAACACCCTCTATTTCACCTAAAACTCAAAGAAGTAAATATTCCAAGTTATAGTGCATTTGGACTTACTTTTACAGTATGTTTTCAATTATTAACTTCATAACTGCACTAGCAAAGTGACTAATACATAGTAATAGCAATTAGACAAACTGCCATGGGGTACTTGGATACATTTCTATGTATTTCAGTTTCTTTTTAGTAAACTAGAACAATATCTATCTTACAATATTGGTTCTGAGAACTAACAATAAAATGCACAAACAATGGTGTTCTTCCAAAAATGTATACTACGATATTTCCAAGAGCCATGACTGCTCCTTCAAAGCAAGGTTAAATATGCATTTCTAGATGAGCAATGCAATTTCCCTCATTAAATCCAGTCTTGGCAAATCACTTGCCTAGCAAATGCAATGTCCTAGGTTTGATCCCCAGTACCCAAAATGAAAAAGACAAAAAAATATATATAGTTTAGATCCAATCTTGTTATTATAAAAGTGATACCAGTTAGAGGGAGATGAGCCTCTAATAACTTGCAGGTGGCAGCATACGCTGATAAATCAAAACCTGCCTGACAATGGGGGTCAGGGGCAGTAAGGACAAAAGAATAAGGAAATAAGGACAGGGCACCACATCTTTGCATCTGTTTTATATAAAACAGAAAGGAGATCCATTAATCAGAAAGCCATCTACAAATAATCCTTCTTTAACCCAAGGCCAAGCTCTGCAACCCTGTTAACATACAAGTGCTGTTGTCTTATGGCATATGTATCCCTTTTCTTTCCTTCTTTCCTTCCTTCCTTCCTTCCTTCCTCCTTCCCTCCCTCCCTTCCTCTCTCTCTTTTCCTTCTTTTTCTTCCTTTCTTTTCTTTGCATGTGTGCGTGTTCCAGTAGTGTAGATTGAACTCAGGGCCTTGCATTCACTTAGAGGGGTGTATGTGTGTGTGTGCGCATGAGTGCACATGCGTACGTGTGTGTGTGTGTGTGTGTGTGTGTTTGCCATCCTTAGGGCTTGAACTCAGAGCCTAGGTGCTGTCACTGAGCTTTTTTGCTCAAAGCTGGCACTCTACCACTTGAGCCAGAGTGTTTAACTGGAGGTAAGTAAGTTTCATGGGCTTTCCTATCTGGGCTGGCTTTGAACTGCAATCCTCAGATCTCAGCTTCCTGAGTAGCTAGGATTACAGACATGAACCACCTGGCTCCATTAGCTTTTTTGCTCAAGGCTGGAGCTCTACCACTTGAGCCACTTGTCCACTTCTGGTTTTTTTTGCTGTTTAATAGGTGATAAGAGTCTCACAGACTTCTGTCCCAGCTGATTTCTAATCTCAGTCTTAAGATCTCAGCTTCCTAAGGGCTGGGAAGGTGGCTCAGTGGTAGAGTGCTTGCCTTGTATGCCTGAGGCCCTGGGTTCAATTCCTCAACACCACATAAGCAAAAGGAAAAAAAAAAAGCTGGAAGTGGCGCTGTGGCCCCACGACCAGGCCCCCCCCCCCCCCCCCCCAAAAAAAGATCTCAGCTTCCTGAATAGTTAGGACTAGAGGCATGAGCCTTCAACACCTGGCTTCCATATTTCTTATAAACTTTCCTATCACTTTTACTAAGTTCAAGTCTTGCCTGAATTATTCTTTTTTCTTTTTTTTGTCAGTCGTGGGGCCTGAACTCTGGGCCTGGGCGCTTGACCCTCAGCTCTTCAGCTGTAGACTAGTGCTCTACCACTTGAGCCTCAGCCCCACTTCCGTCTTTTTCTGCTTATGTGGTGCTGAGAAATGGAATTGAGGGCCTCATGCATGCAAGGCAAGTACTCTACCACTGAGCTTGACAGACAAAAGGACCAAGTTCAACTCATCTGCCCTAAATTTCCTGTAACAAAAGCATGTCTACCACAAAACAAACAAATAAATAAATAAGTTAACTGGCTTCGCCTACTAATATGGTTTAATGTGAGGTAGAACCTGGAATTGAATTCTCCAACTCATTGTCACTATGTCTCATCACTTCAATAATGGCATATTTGCATATGGAGCCTGTAGAGACAATAGAGCGGGTCCTCAGGAAGTTTTTACTTTAAAACTCTATCATTACTGCCTGGAAGATTTTATTTGTGGATTTTACTTTTGTTCCTTCCCTCCCCCTATGTTATCTTTCACCCTCTTGAGTCAAATTCCCTTCATTTAAATACTGAGGAGGGAACTGAGCTAATGTATGCTTCCAGAAAGAGTTGGGTTACTGCATGGCCAAAGAAATGATGATTGCAGAAGTCACCAGAGACCTCTGCAGAACTCTCCAAGCCTCCAGGAACAAAGTTTGAAGAACTCTAACTCATGTTTATTTTGCCTGGACTAATTGTCCAGAAGTAATGAATTCAACTGCCCTGCTGGATCCAGGTGGTGGGGGGTAAGAGGGGCAAACATAACAGTTCCATTTATGTAGGTGAAGCCAGAGGGTGGCTCAGGAATTGCTGGCTGCCCACTAAGCATGCTGGGCCCAACTTCTACCCTGGGAGGAGGGGCAAGTAGGGCCGGCAAGGGCAATGGTAGGGCTGCCTTGGCCCTGCAGAATGCCTGGCAGTGACAATCCTAGACATAGTTTTTGGACCAAGAGTAGAGTAAGGCACTCAGAATGTAAGACAGAGAGCAAGAATGTGATTACTTCCTTACTTCAAGGTATCTATAAACCTCTACTACAAAGAGTAACACCTTGCTTTGCATTGGGGGTGGGGGGTGGGGGTGGGATCAAGGTCCCTATTTAATACCTTACTCCATACAGAGGCAGAGATTGGCTCTCCTGGGGTCGACAGGAGAGGATTATTCATTCTTGGGATATGATTTGAGGGTTTTCCAAGCACTGAGATTTTTAAAAATAACTTTTTATTGAGATTAAGTGATTACATAAATTTCACAGTGATACTTCAAAGTCACAAACACATTTTAACCTTCAAGAGGCAAACTGTCATTATCACGGTTTATAATGTTTGTGAATTCTATGAGCTTTGACAATACAACTATTTCTTCCACCTTGGGTGATAGGTACATTTCTCTCCTTTTGCTTAGTGCCAGCTGTTCCGTCTTTCCCTCTCATTCTGCCCTGGAATTGCTTAGATCGTGTTCATCAATGGCCAGAAGCACTAAGATTTTTAATGCCAAAGCTTTCCACAAACTCTAAAGGGGATGGGGGGAGGGGTGCATTGCCAGGCAGATGTCCCTACACTGCAAAGAGCCTGGTACTGGCAGACCCATGGCCAAACCTGCGATCTTCCTAGCAAGTCTTTGGAAGAAGCAGCCATGATTTCCACTCTGAAGTTTTCCAAAGATCAAATGGGGGGGGGGGGGGGGGGGAAGCCCGGAAAAGGACTAGGCAGGTTGGCCAACCCCAGTGTGGAACGGCCCAGCGGGTCGAGGTCCTGAGGATTTCAGAGGACTCCAAATCAAACCAAGGGGGTGGGAAACCCCAGGGACAGCGAGCGGCTGGCAGGCGGGCCGGGCGGCAGGGAAGTACCCCCCCGGGGAAGGGGCCTGGCTGGGAGGACTTTCCAGCCACTCCGGGCTCAGCAAAAAGTTCCCTGCCCTTGACCCCAAGTGGCTCAGCCCAGGGAGTTTCTCCGATGAACCCCGGCCCAGAGTTTAGGCTTCTCAGCCCAGGCAGTTCTTTTTCTGGTCTGACTGGCTTGGAAATTCCCCGCGTCTGACCCCGCCCCGGAGAAATCCCCTGCCAGCGTTTATAGCGCGCCGCGGCGGCGCTGCCGAGCCCACA